GCCCCTCGGGACTGCCAAGAGACCCCCCAAACGCCCCAAGAGAACTCCAAGAAGCTCTCGAAAGGCATCCGAAGAGACTCCGACAGGCATCCAAGAGGCCTCTGGCCTTTCTGCTCGCCCTCCTCCTCCTCCTCCTCCACCTCCTCCCTCCCCTCCCTCCTCCTCCTCCTCTCCTCCTCCACCTCCTCCTCCCTCCTCGCCATCCTCCTCCTCCTCCTCCACCTCCTCCTCCTCCTCCTCCTCCTCCTCCTCCTCCTCCTCCTCCTCCTCCTCCTCCCTCCTCCTCCTCCTCCTCCTCCTCCTCCTCCTCCTCCTCCTCCTCCTCCTCCTCCTCCTCCTCCTCCTCCTCCTCCTCCTCCTCTGGCTCCTCCTCCTCCTCCATCCTCTCCCCCTTGGGTATGGTCGTTTCCCATCCGTCATTTCACGGCGTACTCCGCCACGTGCCTGATCTGGGCACCTCGTCTAGGTGTCTGAACGGGCTGGTGGGGTTGCGCGAAGCGTCTAGAAACGTTCGTCCCCTTTTCCGTTGTTGATGGCCCTGGGGCCCGATGGCGGGCCCCAGCGAAGGCCGACATCGAGCAAGAACGCACGGACTGAAAACATCGTATCGTCGGAGACCAGGTTGCACAGCTTCTCTTCCTGGGAACTTGAGGACCCTCTCTCGGTCGGCGTCCTCGCGTATGAGCCCGAGGAGAAACTGAAACTCCGGGCCTTCCGCGCCACCTCGCCAGGAAAGCGCACAACGCCACGCGTGGCCAGGCCAGCCCTGCACCCGAGCAGGCCACGCGTGCTGATCAAGCTCGTGCCACGAGTACCCTCAGTGAGGGGGCCGAACGATCGTACACTGTTCCTCCCTCCCTCCCTCCCTCCCTCCCTCCCTCCCTCCCCCTTCAACTCCCTCTTCCCTCCTCCCTCCTTCCCCTGCTTTAAAGCGAAGTCGGGACGAGGATCAAATTGGGCGAGGACAAATCGAGAACCACCGAGATCTAGCGGCTCTGGAGGCTGTCTCGGGCGCCGCGGCCCTCTCGGAGCGTTCTGGGAAAAGCTTGAAGAGCGCTCTGATAATCGTTTATCCGACCCCCATCTCCAGCGGCGTGGCCTGGGCCCCACTGGCCGATTTACCCCCCTAGATGGAGATATAGGCCGTTCCCTTCGGGTTTCGAGGGGTGCATCCCCAACTGGGGTGGTAATTTGGTGGGGGTCTCGAAGGGGATGATGATGGGGATGGGGGGTCGGTTGAACGATACTGACGCTCCGGAACCCTCCGCAACGGAGTCGTCCGTCCGATCCTTGCCTTTTCGGCTACACGCAGGAGTGACCCTGGGTAAGGGTGACCTTTGGTGCGCGGCTTTTGGGGGGCCGCGGGGGGGCCAAACACGGGCGCGCAAGGCGCCACTATCGCATCGCGTCCGGCGATCGGGGAACCCCACTGTGCCCGCACCAAAGGTCACTCCGGCGACAGGTCACTCTTACGCCCAGTCGACCTCTCCGATGCCCGCCCCACCCGGCCCAAGACCGCCCAGGCCTGGGGCCCGCCAGGCCCAGCCCGCCCGCCCGGTCCGGGCCCGACGGCCCACCCGCCCGCTCGCACGCCCGCGCCCGCGCGCGCCCCCGCCGCACAGGGCCTAAGTCGGGCCCGTCCCTCTGCAGTTAGGTCGGGCCTGTCCCCCATACAAGGAAGATTTTCTACGACAAATCTATAAAAGTTTCCAAAAATACTCCAACAGGGTCAGAAAATACTCAAAAAATAGTCCCCGGACGATTTTTTGACTATTTTTGGATATTCCCCCTGTAGAGGGACGACAGGCCCGACTTAGTCTACAGGAGGAAAATGCAAGAGTAGTAAAAAAATAGTCTGGGGACGACTTTTTGAGCATCTTTCGGCTACTTTTGAATATGTTTCGGCCATGTTTCATTTTTCCTTCAAAATCTGCCTGTAGGGGGACGTGCCCGACCTAACACTAGGCGAAGGAGCCCCCGCGCGATGGAGGAGCAGAGGAGCAGGGCGGGGCATCCAAGGACTCGGGGCGCACGTGCTCGGAGCCAGGGGGCACAGAACCCACCCTCACAGTACGGCGAGGGCCTTGGATAGGGAACCAGCGGATAAGGAGTCCAGGGTCTGCGGGCTGGTGGAACTCCGATCATGGATCGGCCATGGATATCACCACCGCCCTCATCAGAGAAGGAATCCTCCAGGGGTCTGAAGCCTCCTGGGCACATTCCTTGACCAACGCCCCCGCCGTAAGCACCCCGACAAGCGAAGCCATTTAGTAAACGCACCCAAGGAAGGAATAGAGCAGGGGAACGGCTGCGTAGTAAACGCTCAGGGCCGCTGAGCAAACGCCAATTATCGGGGGTCGTGGTGGCTTTCCCTATCTTGATGAACGGCACCTCGCATGCTCTCGCTCGGCCTCCCCACGCCGACTTACATGGTCTGAGCGGGCACCTTCCTCCTCTCGCGCTCTGTTCCTTTTCGCCTTCGTGCCTCAGTTCGCCTCCGGTGCACCCCACAGATTGCTGAACGGCACCTGAATGTCTTGGGTCAGTGTGGCGCCCGCAGACTCACAAAAGCTCTCAACGGCGCGCGCGCGCGAGCATACATGAGAGCGACCGCTCTGAGGCGTGTTGCTGCTCCTGTCGTCGTCCTCGCCCCGCGCCCGCGACCCGCCCCACAAACCACCCCGCGGCCCGCTACAGTCGGGGCGTTGACCTAAGGAACCCTAAATTAGGAACGAGGCCCCTTTTTTCCATGACTTAAACTTCGATCTCCCATCGAAAACCTGCGGAAAACTGCAGGCAAACTGTGAAACAATTAAGGAACACGGAGCCCCTCCCAAACGAGAAGGGTTCCTTCTTCAGCGCCCCGACTCTACGCGACCCGCCCCGCGCCCCTCCCCACGACCCGCCCCGCGACACGCCCGCAACCCGCCCCCGCAGTCCGCCAGCGACCCCCGCCCGCCGCGGCCCTCGACCTGCCAACGCTGTTGTGACAATTGGTTGTTTTTTTCAGTGGGCACGCTGGCAGAAAAAAAAAACACACAAAACATCAACAACAAAAAAAACTACACTGTGGGAAACACACACACACACACACACACACACACACACACACACACACACACACACACACACAAAACACACACACACACACACACACAAAAAAAAAAAAAAAAACACTGTTCCCACAGGTTCCTCCTGCACATGCTCTGGAACACCTCACTGCGTGCCCCCGTCCGCGCGATCCGCCCGCGACCCCGCCCCCTCAGTCCTGTCCGCAACTGCGGGGGGGGGGCACACGTATCCCCCACCATGCCCGGGGGCACGAGTTGGAGTGTCCTCAGGTCCCTTCGAGTTCTCTGCATTAGGCACTGGAAGCATGTCCTAAGGCGCTCAGAGCCCAGAGCTCTGGGCGCTGCCGGACCCTCCCTGCGCTCCTGGGAGTGGCTCGCGTGACTTATCCACAGGCCTAGGGCGCGTTGTTCGGGACATGCATGTCCAACATGGCCACGGATGGCCCCGAGGACCGTCCCGGAGCTTTCTTGGGCGCCTCCTGGACCGTTTGGGAGGCCCTGGAGGGCGGCCCAAGAAGCCAAAATCGTCCAAATCCATTGATTGTTGCTCTTGCACTGTTTGGTTTTCAAAACATCCAAGACGACCTTCGAAGCGCCCAAGATCACCCAAAAACGGCCCAAGAGCCCCCAAGAGGAACCCAACAGGCCGCCAAGACAGCCCCAAGAGGGGCCCAGGAGGGGGAACGAGAACTGCCATTTGAGCCCTCCGCCCCAAGATGACCAAAGATCCCCCGCACAGGCCCCCGAGGTGCTCCCAAGAGGCCCCAAGAGGCCCCCGAGCGGCCCCGAGAGGCCCAAATCAAGCCCCAAGAGGCCCCCAAGAAGAAGCCCAGGAGACGCCCCAAAACGCCCCCAAACACCCCCAAAACCGACTCCAAAAGGCTTCTGAGAGGCATTCTCAGAAACACCTAAGGGGCCTCTGACCGACAACCCAGGCACGGTGGCGGTGAGTAGCCGTCGTTGGGGGCACGCCTTCGAGCAAGCGCTGGCGCCTTGAAGGGCGGTGGGGGCCTGGACCTGCAGAGCAGCCAAGAGGTGTCCAGGGGGCACCCGTGGAGGGAGCGATCTCTTGCTCACCACGCTGACCGCCGCAAGCCCACCGACCCTCTCGGCCAGAGAGGACGCGGCCAGGCGTATTGCCAGACCCCTCCCCGTGGCGGACCCCCTGGCCAAGAGGATCCCGCGGCGGCTCCAGCAGCGGCGGCGACGGCCCCCTCCGTGCCCCAGAAGCGCGAACACAGCGGGAAGGGCACCGGAATCTGCACTGTCGGCGGGAACCTCTGCTGGGCGTGTCGCGGCGGCGGCCCCGGCGACACGCCATGCCTATGGCGAGCCGATGAGCGTGCCGCTCCGCTTCGCGGGGCGGGAGGCGCGCGAAGCGCTGGGGCCGCGGACGCCTGGAGATGGAAACGTGGCCAGCGCGTCGCGCCGAATTGGGCGTGGCTTAATGGGGGGGTCATAGATGGGGGGGTCAGAAACGGTTCCCTTTCCTGCCCCATTTCGGGCCCCTCCAGAGCCCCAGGGGGCTCGTTTAGGTACCGTTTGGGTACCCTTTCGGACCACCCTCGCCACCCCACCATTTATGATCCCCCCATCACGTGACGCCCAACCGAAGAGTGCGGGGCCAGCAACGGCGGCGCGACACGCGGAGCAAAAGGTTACATGTTCCTGGACGTACGTTGGAGGCGGCCGAGGGGTCTGAGCTGGCGTGGGGCCCCAGGTAAAGCAGTCAAGCGCCCACCCGGTGCAGTCTTCCACCCCGGATCCACTTTTCGGTGCCCTGGGGCCCGGAAGCGGCCCCACAGGAAACCTCCCCGTACCCAGCACCGCGGGCCTGCCCGCCCTTCCTGCTGGCCGGCACCAGTGCTGGGCCAACCCAGGCCCCCGCACGGCTGCAGCCTGGCCGTGCGCCTTCCTCCCACGGCGGACCTTCGGGCCTCCACCCGTGGATGTTGACGGCCAGCCGGACCGCGTAGCTGGAGCGCTGGAGATCCGGAGCGGGCGTCGGCGCCGGGGGCGGCGGTGCCTCCGCCTTGCGGATGAGGAGGGGCCTTCCGCTCAGGCTGGTGGTCACCCAGCCCTGGGCGGGTCCCAGGCCGCAGCCCTCCACCAGCTTGTAATGGCTGGCGGCGCGCAGGAGGCTATGAAAGAAGAACACACACACACCTATAAGGAGGAGCAATGGGGAAGGGCAAGGCGACGAAGGCGCTATAGATATGGGTGCGAGTTGTCGGACCCCGCGGGGGGCCCCCTTTCGAGCGAGAACCCCCATCCGCCAACACACACACACACACCCATAGCCCCTCCCCCCAACGATTCCACCCCGAGGAATCTGGAGGCCGCACAGGTAACTACGGGTGCCAGCTGTCAGTTCGTGGCAAGGGGGCGGGGCGAGAGGGAGTGCCCGAGACCTGGAAAGGCGGTGGTCTTCCCCCCCCCACACACACACACACACACAAACAAACAAAACACACACACACAACACACACACAACACACACACACACACCACAACACAACGCAACACAACACAACACAACACAACACACAACACAACACAACACAACACAACACAACACAACGCAACGCAACGCAACGCAACGCAACGCAACGCAACACACACACACACACACACACACACACACACACACACACACACACACACACGCGCGCACGCACGCACGCACGCACGCACGCACGCACGCGCACAGACACACACACACACACACACACACACACACACACACACACACCACGCCTTCCGAGAGGCCCTCTCGGAAGCCTCGGGCCTCTTCTGAGAGGCCCCCCTGCCCTCTCGGGGCCCTTCATCTTCGGCGCCGCACCTCCTGCTCGTGAGCTGGGCCCCCGAGGATCTCGACCCCTTTCCCGCGGCCCGCTCTGCACCCCAAGCCGTTTGGGACGGTCCGTGGGGCTGGCAGACGGCCTCTGGCCTCTTCTGAGAAGCCCCTCCCCGAAGCCCTCGCAGAGAACCCCCCTCTCAGAAGCCATCCGGCCCCCTTCCGACAAGCCCCTATCACCCCCTCTGCCCTCTCGGAGCCCTCCCCTTCGGCGCCGCACTCTGTGCTCGCCCCCGAGGATCTCGACTTCTCTTCCCCACGGGGCCCGCTCTGCACCCCGAGCCGTTTTGGACGGTCCCGGGGCTGGCAGACGGCCTCCCGAGCGATGCTAAATGGCCATGGCCCGGGAGACCTGCGCCAAGGGTCCACCGCGATCCGGAGGTGTTCTTGGAAGGTTCCAGGGCTCCATGGGGGGTCCCTGGAGGGTTCCCGAAGGGCCCCTGGGGCACCCGAAGATGTCCCTGGAGGGCTCCACGGGTCCCTGGAGGGCTCCCGAAGGCCCCAGCGGTCCTTCGAGGCCGCCCTGAGAGTTCCCAATGGGGCCGGAGGCGTCGAACCCTGTCGGGTCTGCAGCGAGTTCGGTCATTTCGTCGGCGGCAAGGCGGCGAACTCCGCTCCAGCGAGAAGCTAGAAAGGGGCACTGACTAGCGAATTGGCCGGCGGGCAAAGAGAGGGGGGGGGACGGCCGAGAGGAAGAAGGGACGCTCAGACGCCGAAGAGTTCGACGATGAGCAGCCGGGGGGGGGCAGCAGCAGCCAGGCGCGCAGGGCCAGAGCGGAGTTCGGTCCAGCAAGCGGCCAGGCAAGCGGCGGGACGCAATCCGTTGCGCACCGAGGCACGGGGGCACAGGCGGGCGAGGGGCGCAAAGACGGAAGGCCGCGGCTCGGCCGGAGGCCAAACGGTGAAGGCCTTCAGGATGCGCCTGGGAGCCCGACGGCATCGAGCCGCCAGCGGGCCCGCACGATCGGTTGCATCATCATCATCATCATCATCATCATCATCATCATCATCATCATCATCATCATCATCATCATCATCATCATCATCATCATCATCATCATCATCATCATCGTCATCGTCATCGTCACCGTCACCACCACCACCACCACCATCATCATCATCATCATCATCATCAGCATCATCATCAGCATCATCATCAGCATCAGCATCAGCATCAGCATCATCATCATCATCGTCATCATCATCATCATCATCATCATCATCATCATCATCATCATCATCATCATCATCATCATCATCATCATCATCATCATCATCATCATCATCATCGTCATCGTCATCGTCATCGTCACCGTCACCACCACCACCACCACCATCATCATCATCATCAGCATCATCAGCATCATCATCAGCATCATCATCAGCATCAGCATCAGCATCAGCATCATCGTCATCATCGTCATCATCATCATCAGCATCATCATCAGCAGCATCAGCATCATCATCATCATCTAAATGGCAGAAAACCACCCCGAGAATGACCACCCCGACACGCGAAGCCGTGTAGTAAACGCGCCCAAAGAAAGAATCAAACAGGGCAGGGCTGTTTAGTAAACGCCCAAAGCCGTTCTAGTAAACGCCAATTGTCCGGTCCGGGTGGTTTATCCTCCCTTGATCATCGTCAGCGGGCCCGCACGATCGGTTGCTTCTGTGCGGAGCCTGGGCGTGGGGGCCCCCTCGCTTCGTCCCGCCCCGCGCGCGCCGCCGCGATGGAGGCGGTCGCCCTTGAGCTCCACCTCTCGGGGGGGGGGGGGGGGGGGGGGCCAACGTCAGACGCCCACGCCGAGCCTGGCCTTAGGTCGGGCATGTCCCCCTACAGGCGGATTTTGGACGAAAACATACAAATACAACAAACTAAAAAAAAAAAAATGGTCAAACAAATAATCAAAAAATCGTTCCCCGACTATTTTTAAAACTATTTTTGAATATTCCTCCTGGAGAGGGACGTGCCCGACTTACGCCTGGCCGTGGCCGATCCGGGGGCCCGGGGAGAGATCGGCGTAGAGGCCCTCACTCGCCGAGCCGGGGCGGAGCAGTCACTCGCCTGTGAACGGGGGTCGGACTTCTCCAGGGCCGGGGTCAGCGAAGGGCAAGCTGAAGAAACTACGCCGTCCTCGCCAAGCCAGGATGGCGTACGGCTGGCGTCGGAGAAATAGCGTGCAAGATCGATCTCTGAAAAGACGCTATCCGTGTGAGGCGATCGCCCCGCGAGGGCCCCTTCTTTGCACGCTTATCCCCCTGCCAGGGCTTCTTCGGTGCACGCGATCCCCAAGGTGGAGAATAGCGTGTACTGAGCGAGCCGGAGGCGACACATCGCACGCTGTCTTTACAACGCCGACTGTGTACACTAAGACGAAGCCAGGACGAGGATAAATCTTAAATCTGGGTGAGGACAAATCGGGAATCTCTGAGACCTGGCGGTTCTGGCGGATGTCTCGGGCGCCGCGGCCTGATCGGAGAGCTCCAAAACGCTCTGAGAGCGTTCCAGAACGCTCTGGAACGATCTCATCCTCGTCCTGGGCCCAGGATTGGCCTGGGCCCGGTCACCGCTCGATACCTCGATACCTCGATACCTCGATCCTGGGCCCAGGATACCTCGACACCTCGATACCTCTATACAGTGCGGGCGCGGCCGCAAGAAACCCTCGCAAGAAACCCAACCCTGAAAACCCGCGCGCGAGGTGCAACTGAAGGGAAACCTCGAGCACCCTGAACACAGCAGCTCCTTCAACGGCTGCGGCAAGTCACCGCGCAGCGCGCGGAGCGAAGAAACCCAGGATACCCTGACGAAAAGCACATGGTTTCTTGATGCGCGCCCCCACTGTACCTCGATCCTGGGACCTCGATCCCAGGCCCAGGACACCTCGACACCTCGCTCCTGGGACCTCGATCCCCGCCCGACACCTCGATCCTGGCCCCAGGATGGGCCTGGCCAGGCGCTGGGCAGGTCTCCGGCCGGCGCCCTCCGACCACCTCCTCCACGTTGGAGCCCGTGGCGAGGCGGGCCGGGAGCTCCGCGGAGGTGCGGGCCTCGCCCTCGCGGACGCGGACGCCGTCCTCCTGGACGCTTTGCCAGAAGGGTCCCTGGTCCAGGGATGGCCCCAGAGGAAAAGGAGGAGGAGAAGGAGGAGGAGGAGGAGGAGGAGGGGGAGGGGGAGGGGAGGGGGAGGGGGGGAGGAGGGGGGAGGGGGAGGGGGAGGGGGAGGAGGAGGAGGAGGGGGAGGAGGAGGAGGAGAAGGAGGGGAGAGGGAAAAAGGAGGAGGGGAGGAGGAGGGAGGAGGAGGAGGAGAGGAGGAGGAGGGAGGAGGAGGAGGAGCAGGAGCAGGAGCAGGAGGAGGAGGAAGGCCCTCCGATCCTTGCTGCCGCCGACGACCTGCCAGAGGACCATCTCGGGGCGTCGCAGAGGCCCGGACCCCCCTGCGCACGGCGGCGCGGGGCGCCCTCGGCGCGGCACGGGTCACGCGCGGGGCCGCACGCGCCGCGCGCCGCAGCGCCGCAGGGCACGGCGCGCTCCCCGCGGCGGGCAGCCTGGCGGCGTGCAGCCTGCGCGACTTGCCCGCGCCGTCGGCCCCGGCCTGCTGCGCCGCCGGTCCGGATGTCGCCGGGCGGGGCCCCCCGCGAGCGCTCCAGCGGCGCTGCTTGAGCCGCGATCGCGAAAGCGTGGCGCCACTGCGCTCCCCGGGCGATCACCCCGTCGGCGCCATCCACGCCGGACGGAGGAGTCTCAAGTATCTCCGACCCCTCCCCAGGAGGCGACCGTGCCTTAGTGTGCGCCGTCAGAGCTTAGCTCGATGGGGAACGCCCCGAGACCCGAGCAGTACCGATCCGTGAGGGCCGCGAGGCCCGAGAAAAGGGCTGACGCGCCGGCTGCGGACTTGTCACGACGCCCAGGTGGCCCCTGAGGCCGCCAGAAGCTCCCAGAGACGCAGAGAGGGCCAAAAAACGCACGACAACCTCGGTCCTCGACCCTCGATGATAGACCACCGATGGAGGACCCTCGACGATCCTCGGCCGCCGCCCTCTTCGTCGTCCTCCTGGACGTCAGGGTTAGGCTGGGCGTGTCCCCCTACAGGCAGAGTCTGGACGAAAGACAAAAAATAGTCAAGCAATGATCCCAAAATGCTCCAAAATACTAAAAAGATAGCCCCCCGACTATTCTTTGACTCTTTTCGAACATTCCCCCTGTAGGGGGACGTGCCCGCCTCACGTTAGGGGCTGCGCGGTCCTCGACCCCCGACCCTCGAGCACGCCGTGCCCGAAGGCGTCCGGGGATGTGAGGCTGCTCCACCCGCGGGCCCCCCGTGGTCTCGACCCATCAGCCAGGGGGGCAAGCGTCTCGCCCGGGGGGGCCCTCCTCTGACTGGACGAGCGCGCTCCGCCACTCGCAGAGGATCTACTCGCAGATGGCCCGGATCCGCCGCGTGTGCTCTGCGAGAAGCTTCGTCGAGACAAGCAAACATATGTGCCGGACGCTTGCGAGTATAGGCACTTTGCGAGCAGTGGAACGCGCTCGGTGCTGGACGGCCCCCGGAGGCCCGGAGACGGACCCTCCGGAGGCCGAGGCTTACGCGAGAGAACCCCGCGCCAGAGCGAGGCAAACAAAAAGGGCAGGACGAGGACACGCTGGGCTGGCCATCGCTCGGACGTCCATTCCCTGTGTTTTTTTCGGTTTCGTGCGTGGTTTTTTCGCCAAATGATCAAGGATGCTCCTCGATGGTCCTCGCCGGGAAAAAATGCACACGTCCGAGCAATGCCAAGTGGGACGCGGAGAGAGCTCTGCAACCTCGGAGAGCCGGCGGGTCTGGAGGACGTGCCGGGCGCCGCGGCCGCGGCAGAAGCGCTCCACGAGGCTCCGAGAGCGCTGCGGAGCCCTCTGGGAGGATTGCATCCTCGTCCTCCTTGGCCTGCCCGACGAGGGTCTGGGGCCCTCTGCCCAGACCTCCGACGCCGTGGTCTGTTCACGCTCCGCGTGGGCCCCTGGAGGTCTCTAGGGCTCCCCCAACTTCCCGCTTCGCGCTCCGCGAAGCGCGAAGCGCGAATAACTTCGCGCTCTCGCGCCGCCCCCCCAAAGGGAGAAAAGGAGGACGAGGAGGAGGAGGGAGGAGGGGGAGAAGGAACGAGGACCGCGAAGCGCGAAGCGCGAATAACTTCGCGCCCTCGTGGGAGCCCTTGACCTAAGGTCGGGACCTCTTCCATGGGAGCGGTTTCTCGTCCCGAGCCGCTCACTGGCGGCCCTGGCGCCCGGCGAGGGCTCCCAGAGGCCGACCACGCCGACCACCCCTCCCCCCCCAAAAAGGTACGTTTTTGCACGACGCGGGGGGGGGGGCTTTCGGACGCCTGGGGTGAGGGGGGACGCCAGGGTGGAGACGGGGGAAACATTGAGCTTGAATCGGCGATACATCGCCGATAGATCGACGATTGGCTACCGATACCAGAACCCCACGCTCCCGTGCGAGGTGGACTACCGGGCCCCACATCGACGATGAATGGGCGATCCGGGATCGATGCATCCTCCCCTGAGCCCACGCCCCAATAACGTCGACTGGTCCCTCCCTTCGGGTCACAACTCGGGTCTCCGGCGGCCGTTCGGGACGATCCGGGCCCCCCTGCAGAACGCCTTCGGCGAGGCACAGCTGCTGGATGTTGGCGGCACGCAGAAGGGGGTAGGGGGAGAGAGGAAGGCTTCTTAAAAGGAGGCTGCTTCTTCAAAGGCGCCGGCCCTACATCTGTAGAGAAGGCCTGCGCCTTCTACATAAGAAGCAGGGGTGTTTCTAAGAAGCTACTTGAGAAGCCTTCCCCCCTCCCCCTGCCCCCCTCTGCGCGTGGCCGAGGAAGGCATCCCGAGGCAGGACAACGTCCAGGAACCGACGAGAGCGTCCAAAAACCTCGAACCTCGCGCCCGAGACACGGCCGACGCCGTGGCTTTCTCGATGCGGGCGCTGCCCCGCGGCTTCGACTTCTGAGGGCCGCCCTCTGTGAAGGGGCCCAAGGACATCCCCAAAAATAGGCACACACACACACACACACACATATCCCAGGATTCCCCATACCGTCAATATTTCCTGGATGCTCGTCTTCCCGCCCACTCCCCATAATTTCCAGACATTCCTGGGGAACGACGATTCATTGTGTCTGTGCTTGTCCGTCCTCCGAGGTCGCATCTGTTTCGCGGCGAGGACCCCGGGGATCTCGACCCCCTCCCCGAGGCTGGCCTTGCGTCCCGAGTCCTCTCTCGACAAGCCTCACAGCCAAAGCGCATCATAAGGATGCGAGGGCCTTGAAGCGCCACGTGGACACCTTGCGAGCGGGGCGCGGCCAGCGAAAGTGGCCGAGGATGGGCCGAAGGGGAAGGATGCAGAGGCAACCTTGGAGAGTCGCTCATCCTTGCTGTCCGTCTTGGCTGAATCCCCCGCTGGCGTTGCCTGTGGCTGGGGCCAGGCGGCGCCGCGGCCCCAGAGGCCCCAGGGGTCCCTTCCCTTCCCCTGGCTCAGCCCTGCGCCCCAGATCCGTTTTCCAGGGCACCCGGGCCCGACTCACGGGACGCGGGGGCCGAACCTGCGAAGACCCCCCGATGAAAAACAGCCCACCTCCAGAGATCCGGGTTGCACAGCTGCTTCCTGGGGACCTCTGAGCGCGGAGCCCCTCCAGGTCGGCGTCCTCGCGCATGAGCCCCCAGGAGAAGCCGAAGCGCAGGGCCCTGCGCGCCAGTCTCGCCAGGAGAGAGCGCGCGGCGCCACGCCTGGCCAGGCCGCCGCGGGGCCCGGAGCTCCAGCTCGCGAGGGGCAGGCTGCAGGTGGAGAGGCGGCTGGGGGGTCTGAGCTGGCTGGGGCCCGAGCAAATAAGAGGCCCCAAGAGGCCCCCAAGGGACACCCAGGAAGCCCCAAGAGGCCCCCACGAGGCTCCCAAGCGGCCCCCAAGAGCTTCCCAAGAGGCCCCCAAGCTACCCCCAAGCGGCCCCCGAGAGCGCTCGTCGTCGTCGTCGTCGTCGTCATTCAGGTCGGCGGCACCGGCCGTAAGGCCTTCGCAATCGGTCAGCACGCGGGATGAAACCAAGTCCGCTCAAAATCGGTCCCCAGACCCCTCCCTGGCGTGCAACTGGTACAGCTTTTCACTCTGGATCCATGTTTGACGATCCAGGGGCCCGAAAACAGCCACCAGGAGCAGAACATAGCAAAGACCTGCCCGAACCCAAAACCTCGAACCTGCCCCCCCCCCTTCTGCTGGCCAGAACCAGTGCTGGGCCACCTCAGACCACGAAGCGCCTGGCGGCGGCGGCGGCGGCCGCGCGCGCGCGCCTCCTCGGCGCCGGCGGGGTCCGCTGGGGCCTCAGGCGCGGCGAGCGCCTCGGCGCTGAGCGCGTGCAGGTCGATGCCGTCCTGGGGCCGGGCCAGCCGCTGCCGAGGTCTCTCGGGGGGCGTCGGCCAGTTCCATAAAAAGGGGCCCCAAGAGAGTCTCAAGAGCATCCAAAGCATCCAAAGCTGAAGCAACGTCGTCTTTAGACGCTGAGGCGCGTGCACTACTAGACTGCACTGAACTCCTCTCGCACGTTCATTACATAACGCGACGTATGGCCTTGCGCCAACAAACTTTTGAACGACGTTCCCGCCTGGCCGCGCACGGCCTCCGGCTGAACCCAGAATCTTGAAGATGGCCAAAGTAAGCTGCCAGCAGGCTCTCATGTCGAAACTGGGCCTGCTCAGGCTGATCCCGATCTTCGGCTTGACGGCCACTCCCCTCTCTGTTCCACCGCGCGCTTCCGCACTTCCCTAATCAATGCAACTCGCCAGGGCATCGTTGCTGGATGGGCACTATTGAAGGGTGTCCAAGAGGGGGGCGTCCAGGTGGATGCATCGCAAGTCATGGCCCAGGATACGTGCGCGGCACAGGGGAGGAGGGGGCCGAGGGACAAATTTAAACAAAAGAAGAGGGGGCCAGCAAATCTAGGGAGACATCATGGCCCCAGCCATGATCTCCACCCCCCCTAGTCGTCACTCCCCTCTCGGAGGCCCCCGAAAGTATCCACCTCGCTGGTCCCAGACCCACGCCAGACTGACTTCTGTTCCAACGCGGCGCTGCTCTTCCATTTTGGCCTCCAGGGGCCGCCTTGATGCCCCGAGGCCACAAGGAGTCGGCGGGGCTCTCAGAAGCTCTCTGCCCTTCTGAGAAGTTTTCTGCGCCTCTGGGGAAGGCTCAGAAGGCCTTCTGCGAAGGCATACCCCGTCTCACTTCCCCCCCTGGGGCTCGCCGCCGATTCTGGGCGGTCCGAGAAGCCGCCGTTCGGGCCCAAGGCGACCGATTCTTCGGCCGATCGCGGGTCGCAGTTCCCGCGCGCGCCTGAGGCTTCGAGCATGCCTGCTGTGGCGACGGCGCGGGCGGCAAGCGCTGCAGCGGGGCCCTCCGCTGCTTGCGGCGCAGGGCTCGACAGGGGCGGCCAGGGGGGAGAGCGGAGGCTGGGCGGAGTTCTTGTGCGGTCCGAGCCATGCTGGCAAGTGGCCCGCCTTACTTGGATCACCGCTGGGGTTGCCAAGGGGATAGGGGGGGCTCCTCTAAATGGATGCCAAGGTGAGCTAGATGTTAGATCTAGCCTGGCCTTTAGCGTACAGATGGGTCATAGATGCCCGAAGTGGCTTGAAGGCGTTCGGTAACTCTGCTGAGTGGGCTTCGCCCACATGGCCTAGACCTCTGTCCCCTGTAAGCCGGTTGGGGTACTTGCATCCCACCTGTGAGCCAGGCGATGCCAAATATAACCCACCATGGCCTCCACTTAGAACCCATACCCCCTGCATTAGCAATCCCAGTGGTGATCAAAGTATGCAATCCGAGCCATGCCGACGAGGCGCCCTCCTGAAGGCCAAGACGTGCTCCCCAAGACCAGATCCGACGTCGTGAAAAGCGCAGCGTCGTAGAAGAAAACGCAACGGAGGCTATCGACCCCGTTGTGCGGAACTTCTCGGGTCCAGAATGGGGCAGGAACGCTTTTTCGTGATCTTTTCGCGACACCCAGATCTGAAAGTCACCGGAGGCATCACCAGGGCCAAAAACGTCCGATGGCCTCCTCCCCCCCTCCTGTTCTCCAGGGTGCGGGTGCGCGCTCAGCATCCTGCCGAGAGAATGCGTTGCATCTCGGCTCCGACCAGTTGGGCTCGTGCGGTTGTCCAGACTGAAGGGGCCCTGGGACACACAAATCAGTACACACAAATAACAGGATTCCCCATATTTTCCTATATTTTCTGGGTTTTCGTCTTCCCCCCACTGCCCATAGTTTCCCATATTTTCGGGGGAATCGACGATTAATTGTCTGTGTGGTTTTTTAACTCCTGAAACATGAGCCGCCGAAGGTCTCGACCCGTTGCCCTGGGTTCCGCTCTTCCATCCCGAGTCGTTTTCGTGACGGCCCCGGGGCCCCGCGAGGGTCCCAGGAGGCCGAGACTTCCAATGCCAACGAGAAACAACCGCCCTGAGCTTTTCACGACGCGAGGGGCCCTGGGGGCTCTCCAGGAGGTCCAGATCTCGCCCCGGCCCTCGAGCCCAAACGGCGCCAGAGGACGCATGCGTCATGCGTCTGGACAGGCCGGGCCGTGCGAGGTGCCGGCCTGCGAGCACCCGACGCTGGGAGCTTTGCGGCCTGCGGACCCCGGAAGTCTGCGCCCCCTCCCGCGGGGCAGCTTTGTTCGCCGGGTCTTCGTTCGATGACCCTGGGCCCCGAAAACGGCCCCCACACCTCCTGGCGTCGTGGAAACTCACCGCGGGATGTGCTTAACTAGTCATCATGTTCAGCCTCGGGCCCTCCCAGGGCCTCGGGACCGTCCAAAAACTACTCAGGGTGAAAAACTGGCCCCGTGGAAGGGGTCGAGACCTCCAGCGGGGGGCGGGGGGGGGGGCCCACGTCGTGAAAAAATCATGATCGGGCTTCTATCGACCCGGGTCAATGCAAACCTTGGTCCGTCAGGCTGCGCAGGATCTTGCAAGCTCCTCCAGGACCCTACAGGATCCTGCGCGCTGGCCCCTGTCCATGCGACCCTGGCTTTGCAGGATCCTGCAAGACCCGGCGCTCTGGCTGACCCCCCGTTTGCATTGACCCCCGTGCGGGCCGGGGGGCAGCTCTTCGCCGCCTCGCCCTCGCTGGCCCAGCGGGGCCGCAGAAGGGCACGCGGAGGCCGAAGCTCAGGAAGGACGCTGCGGCCGATGGAGGAGCAAAACGATGCCGATGGCCAGGGCTGCACACGAAAACGTCGGTCTCGAGCTCGGCCAGCGTCCATCCCGGGCACCGCCAGCTGGCAGGCCGCCCTCGCGAATCGGCGACGGCCAGCGTGGCCCGTGGCCACGACTGGCGTCGACGAGATCCTGCGTCGTCTCGGCCCCGGTTCTCTTGCGCTTCCTCCCTCGAGCCGAGCACATCGACCTCCGCTGGAGGCCTGGGGTCGCCGCCGCGACACGACGGCGCGCGAGCGCACCGCGCGGGCGCACCGCGCTCCGGGGCGGGGCCGGCGCGGCGGCGGCACGGGGCGCGGGCCTGGCGCATGATCTCGTCCAGCAGCGGGCAGCAGAGCCTCGGGGCCCGGCGGGCGGGCCCGCGCCCGACGGAAGGGCCGAGGCGGCGGCAGGCAGCACACTTTTTTGGGTCTGCGGGTCGGGAGCGGGCCCCTTCTGGTCAAGAGCTAAACGGGACGCGGGTAGCCCTACTTGGGGAGACAGGGCGCGGGCGGGCGGGGCCTCAGGCGGCCGGAGGGCTCAGAAAGCAGGCGGTGCCGAAGAGCAGCGGCAAGCAGCACACACGAAGTCGGAAGCCGCATAACTAGATGCCTCCTCTGGGGGTCGGCGCAGTGCTGTAAGCCTCTTGGGTCTGCCCGCCCACTGGGCCGAGGGGGGCGTGAGGGGCAGCGGCGAGAGCTCCCTTGAAGGCTTGAGCCGCCCCCGTGCGTCTCCCCCCCAGACGGCCTCCGCCAGCCAGCCGCCCGCTGCGGCACCTGCCCGTTTCGGGCGGCCCCAAAGCGACTTCCAGACGGCATCGAAGACGACCTCGCTCGCATGTCATACCGTTCCAGATGCTCTTTCGGGGCGCAGTTGCTCTCCATTCTGGCCCCTTCGGTGGGCCCTCTTGGCTCCAAAGTCAGCTATTGGGCCCCCCCGAAACGCCTCTTGGGCCCAACTTCGCCTACAAGCTGGAAGCATCTACAAAACGCATCAACTTCTCAAAGTGTTTGACGATTTGGGCCTCCCTGGCGGTCGCCCAGGCGCCTCTGTTGGCCGATTTGCGGGCTCGGCTGGGGCTTTCATTCTGAATCCCGATTTTGGCACCGTGCTTGACGCGCTCAGGCATTTATTTGTGGACGATCACTGCCCATATTTTACCCACAAAATGTGGCACAAACTGGCCCCGACGTCGGCCCAGCTTGAATGGTTGTCGGACGGGGGTCGGGTCCCACGCGGGGATGCTCACGCTTGGGCGCTGCAGAAGCTCGCCTGGGGCGCCTCGGGCCCACCTTGGCCCCTTTAGGAGCCGCTTCGGAGCCCCATTCGGCTCATGATGGCGCCTTTTGGGCCGATTTCTGGCCGTCTGGACCCAGAGATCCAGCATCCATGTCACTGATCCGTTGCGAATGACCATAGATCGATCAGCCACCCGACATACCTGAACTCACTCGGCGATTGGATGGAAAAGAAATGACGCGAAGGAAAAAATCTCTCTCACACACAAACACACACATTGTTATGAGCAGCTTGCCTATTCATCATGGATACGGGCAGATAGGCTCTTGGTGCGAATGTTCTGGTATGCCATATACAGATAATGGTCCCAAATTGAGTCTCTGAAAAAATACTTGACGCCATGGCTAACCCGGCTAAGGTGTCCGTTAAGCAGATGTGCTAGTGTAGACGCGTAGGATGTAGCCGGCCGAGGGAGGAAGGCTGGCAGCGCGCGCGTGCCTTTTACTAATCACAAAAGGAGCTGCGAATGGTAACGCATGTGTTCATATCACGTGATACATGGCGCCGCCAACCCACTCTATACACCGACGCTTTTCCTGACCGTGCGCTGAAATTCGCACAGGAACGCGGATTCTGGTGTGTACGGGATCCTGGTGTATACGTTTTTCGCTGTTTCCCCCTGGAAAACGGAGGAGAAGTATACACCACACCACCCCGACGTCGTCCCCGACCCTCAAAAAGTCGTGGGCTTGAGGAAACAACCCGCCACTGGTAATGTATATGTTCCAGTTTCAGAAAAACTGCCAGGAACCGACGCAAGCGCCCGAAGATCTCGAGCCTCGCACCTGTCCAGAGGCCTCCCAGATGGGGTCCGAGCAGATGGGGTCGGAGGATCGCGCCGCATCGCCAAGACATCGGCAATACATCATCGATGCATCGGTTATGCATCGGCGACGTCAGTGATGCATCGGCGACGCCAGCGTGCAGAAAATCGGGCTCCACATCGAGCCGCATCGCCGATGCATTGAGGATACGGCGCGATCCTCCGACCCCACCTACTCGGGCCCCATCTGGGAGGCCTAGAAACATGTCGCCCCACCTGGGCCTATCCCCCTCACATCGTTGCCCTTCAGTCTTAGAAGCGGCCGGGGGGTCTGCGCTGGATAGGCCCTGAGATGACCGGTGAAGAGGAGGGGTCAAGGGGAAATCCGCTCGAAACCAGCCCCCGGACCCCTCCCAACCCCGAAACTGACCAGAGTTTCGAGCCGCGTCCGGCCGTGGCGACGAGGGGGCCCCGTCCTCCCCCCTGTCTGCTGGCAGTAGCCAGCGTTGGGCCACCTCAGCCCCCAGCGGGCTCCAACTTGACTTCGGTCGGGCGTGTCCCCCACCAGGCGGAGATTGGACGAAAAATAAAAAAGACGAAAAAAGAACTCCAAATCATCAAAAAATGCTCAGAAAGTCGTCTCCTGACTATTTTTAACTACTTCTGAATATTCCTCCTGTAGAGGGACCATTTGAGTCCTGCCTCGGGCCCTCGGCGTGGCCGCCTGTTCGAGACCGTGATGGCGGTGAAGCTCGTGAGCACCAGGGGAAGGATCAACGCGTACGCGTCGCTGCCCGTGAGCTCCAGTACCTCTCCGGGAGCCCATGCCGGGAGCGGTCAGCATGAAACAAGGAAATCGGATCGCATCGATTCGGACGACGACGACGACGACGACGACGACGACAACGACGACGACGACGCCGACGACGCCGACGACGACGGCGACGACGACGCGGGGTACACGAGCGCATCGGGAAGAACAAACGACGAGGCGACAGGGGAGACGACACCTGGGCAGCCTCGCGCTGGGAGGCCTTCGCGGTGTCAGAGCGGCGCTCCGGGGGCCACAAGGGCACCCCGAGGACATCTGGGAGCCATCGAGCACCTCCAACCCACGAACAGCCTCAAACATTCCCGGATCTCTGGCGATGCGATGTGTTCAATGCGGGCAGTGTTCCTCGACATCGGCCTCTCCCAACGGCAAAAAGCGCCGCGGTGCGATGGACAGTCATAGCGTCAGGGGGAAAAGCCACGACCGACTGTCGTGGACGAGCAGATGCAGAACAGCGAGAGATTCCTCGATTGCGGCCTCTGGGGCCTGTCTTCGGGCGCCTTGACAATCAGAAGTGTCTGGGACGAAAAATCTCACCAGGGGATGGGGTTGGGATCTCTGGGGCCCCGCACTCGGGCCTCCGAACACCTCCGACATACTCAAACCCACTCGCATCGTGGAGAAAACACTGCGGGAGGTTTTCTTCTATGTTCGGCCACTGAGGGCCCTCGCTGGGTCCTGGTGAGCGCCAAAAGGCAGCTCAGGATGGAAAGCCAGTCCCAGGGAAAAGGGACGAGACCTCCGGGGGTCGACGTTGCAAAAAGAATCATGACGCCGGGGGTCGGGGCACGAACATCATCGAAAATGATCTTCAGCTCCTCCTGCCCATCATCTCCTTCCATTCCATTTCCATCTAAAAAAGGCTCCCCCCTGCGGTACTGCCAGACGTGTCCGTCTGCCTGACTGGGCCTTTCGCTTTAGACGTCCTTACAGCCTGCTCTCCTAAGGCTGAGACTCCAACAACTACAAGGATGAAGGACTGGTGAGTTTCAAAGCGCGGCTCTCGTCTTCGCGCATCGCGCATTCGTTCTAACATGCGCCAACAGCTACAAGGATGGAGGTCTGGTGGTTTTGGTTACACCATTGGCGGCAGAACACCTAAGCAGCGCTTCACATGACGACAGAAAACACCTACAAAGAGCTTGATAGAGAATGAGACATTCTATACCAAAATTCTATCGCGGCTTCTGGAATACCGAAGGCCAGAATAAAGACCATGCTGGAGACCAACCAAAGACCGTGCAAGAGACCATACGGAAGACCGTACGGGAGACCATACGGGAGATCACTCGGGAAGTGATGAGACCGCACGTGAGATCATACGAGAAACGATCGGGTAGACCATGCGGAAGACCGTACGGGAGTCCATATGCGGGGAGATCCTACGGGAGACTGTGCGGCAAACCGTGCAGGAGACCGTGCGGGAGACCGTGCGGGAGACCGTACGGGAAGCCATGCGGGAGACCAACGAAGAACCACACGGGAGACCACTTGGAAAACGAAGCGAGAGAGAGAGAGAGAGAGAGACCATTCGGGAGACCCTACGGGAGACCGTATGGGGAACCATAGGGGAGATCATGAACGAGACCATGCGGGAGACAGTGAGGACGACCATACCACACCGGAGACCATGCGGGAAGACCATGCGGGGAGACCATACGGGAGACCAGATGGGAGAGCATACGAGAGACCGTAGGGAAGCCATACAAGCGACAGTACAAGAGACCATGCATGAGACCATATGGGAGACCCTACGGGAAAACATGCACAAACAGAGGAGATACTAGAAGAGATCATGCGGGAGACCATGCGGGAGACCATATGGGAGACCACACCCGAACCATGCGGGAGACAATACGGAAGGTCACACGAAAAACCATGCGAGAAACCATACGGAACATCTTGCGGGAGGTCACACGAGAGACCATACGGGAGACCATACGGGAGACCAGATGGGGCACCATACGAAAGACCGTGCAGGAAACCAGACAGGACACCGTGCGGGAGACCATACGGGAGAGCACACGGTGGACCCTATGGGGGACCATGTGGGGGGCCACCACGGAAAACGATGAATGCAGAAGCCTCCAAGGCGGGGTCCGAGCAGATGGGGCCGGAGGCTTGCACCGCATCGCCGATGCATCGCCGATGCATCGGCCATGCATCGGCGACGTCGGTGACGCACAGGAGACGTCGGCGTTGAGAAAATCGGGCTCCACATCGAGCCGCAGCGCCGATGCATCGGCGATGCAGCGGCGATGCAGCGGCGATGCATCGGCGATGCGGCGCGATCCTCTGGCCCCATCCACTCCGACCCCATCTGGGAGGCCTAGAGAATGAGACCATACGGGGGACCATACTAAAGACCATACGGGCAGCAATACGGGAGACCACGCGGGAGACCGCACGGGGGACCACACGGGAGACCATCCAGGAGACTGCACGGGAGACCGCACGGGAGGCCATACGAAGACCAGACCACCGAGTTCGGCCCTGGGGAGAGCAACCCTCGACTTAAAAGCTGTGTGTGCACACACATACATATATACCTCATCTATAAATAAATATACGTGTGTATATCACGCCCGCTATACATATACATATATATATAATAGAACCACGCGCGCACTTCGCGCGCGCTTAGGTTCTAGTCACTCCCGCGACCACGCTCAACACCGCCAATGCCGCCACGGCTCCCACCGCCCTTTCCGCCATCACCGCGGTCACGACCACTTCTGATTACATGTCCACTCTGGGCATGACCACCCCATCCACAACGATTGCACTTTCCACGACCACTATAACGGCCATTGGTTCAACCTCTGCCTGTACCACCACCAATACCACTACCATTGCCACTGCCACTGCCGCGAATCCACGACCACTATCATTACCACCACGGCAAGTGCCACCGCCACGACAATCCTAATCATCGGTAGGACCACAATCGGCGCACGAACTGAAGCCAACTGCAGCCGTCACCACCACGACCCCTCCAGGGCTCTCCTGGGGGCGTCCTCTGGGCCCTTGGCCCTGTCTTGCGAGCCTTTTGGGACTCTCTTGGAGCCCTTTTGGGCCGTCTTGGGGCTCTGATGAGATGTCTTGGGGCCCTCTTGGGCCGTCTTGGAGCTCTCTTGGGCCCCTCTTGGGGGCCTCTTGGCCGAATTGGGGATCCCACTGCTTCTTCTCACATCCTCGTTATTCAGTGTTCACTTCTCTTCGCCTTTGCTCGTTTCCTCGCCCTTCCTCCCCTCGTCCTTCTGCGCACTTTTCCTGCTCAGCCTTCCCTCTTCTTCCTCCTCGTCCTGATCTTTTCTGCATCTTCCCTCTTTCCCCCTGCTCCTCCTCCCTTCCTCCTCCTCCTTCTCCCTCCCCCCCGCGTGGATCTCCGCTGGAGAAGCCCCCGGAAACTCTGGGAGGCCAGGTTCGTCTAGGGCGTTTGGGGGGCCTTTTGGGGCCTCCTTGGGACCTCTGGGGGCGGATGGCTTGAAATGTTCGTAGGGCATCCTCTCTGGGCCCCTGCTTGGGGCCGTCCTGGGTCCCTCTTGGGCCGTCTGGGGACCTCTTGGGCTAGCCAGGGGCCCTTCTGGGCTGTCTTGGAACCCTCTTGGGCTGTCTGGGGGCGATCCTGGCGGCCTCTCGAGCCGTCTTCGTTCCCCTGGAAGGGCAAGAGGCGAATCCCTGAAAAATGTACGCCATTTTTGCATCTTGGGGCCCTCTTGGGAGGGCTCTTGGGGCCCTCTTGGGCTGTCTCGGGGGCTCCCGGGAGCCCTCTTGGAGCCATCGTCGGCGTCTTCAAGCTACATTTCGAGGCTCGTGCGCCCTCTTGATCTGTTTGGCGGCCTCCGGCGCCCTCGGGAGCCGTCCCAGGGGCGCCCCAGAGGCCCCGGTACCCCCATGCGCGCTCGAGGTCGCGGTCCCGAGCCTCCAGTCGTAGCTAGGCTTGATCGGCCAACTCATGTAATCTCATTTTGGTCGCTTCCTACGTCCAGGGACTCCCTTGGAGGCCCTGCGCAAGCCTCGGAATCGTATAGAAGGGGAAGTGCGGAGACGCAGAAATCATTATTTAATTTCCTTTAAAACTTTAGGTATTCAACGATTTGAGGCCCTCAAAGGCTTCCTGGGTTTTTTGGGGGAGGTGAGGGGTCTGAATTCTGGTCTGTTGTGCAAGAGTAGACCGGGGGCCAAACTTGAAAAACGAAAAAAACAAAAAAGAAGGAATTGTGGGATTTCCATGTTTTCCAGTTCCTCGGCGCTGTTCGGCGCTGTTTTTTGTTTGTGCCTCGCGGGTTTTGTTAGCCGGGCCCCTCAGGGGTGTGGCTTCCGACCCCCTGGGGGTGCTGGAGGCCTCCTGGAGGCCTGGAGAGACGTCGGAAGGGTGTCTCAGGCTGCGCGGGAGCGTGTTGGGCCGTTCTTTACGTTCTGGGGGCTCCTTGGGGTTGTCTTGGGCTGTCCTTAGGCGTCTTGGGGGCCCCCCAGGAAGCCGGGATACGCGGTACCGGCCAGATGTCAGGGGATGTGCGGGATCTCCGAGTCGGAGTCCCACTTTGAAAAAAACGGGAATTCTGGGAATTTCTTTTTTCCCCCCAAAAAAAAATAGATCTTCGAGGGTTGGAAGCGGGAAAACGTCAGAAAGAGAAAACAAATTAAAAAAACATTGGAAATCAACGATGTTACCCTCTTTGGGCTCTCTCGGGACCGCTCTCGCAGCTCTTTGGGGCTGTTCTTGGGGCCTTGTCGGGGTTTTTTGGGGGCCTCTCAAGGATCGGGGGGGTGTTGGGGGCCTCTGGGGGGTCCCAGAGGCCTCTCGGAGGTCGCTGGAAGCCTCCTGTTCCCGCTCTTGGGCCCATTTTGGGGTAGTCTGGGGCTGTCCTGGGCGCTTCTTCGGCAGTGTTGGAGCCTTCTTGGCTCGTCTTGGGGCCGTCCTGAGGGTCTCATGGGTGGTCTTGGGGCGGTCTTGGGAGCCTCTTCGGCGCTCTTGGATCATTGGAAGCTCGAAAACGCGAGAAGCCAAAAACATTGCGAAAACAAATGGGAATCTACGATTTGGGCCTCTTCGGGCCGTCCCGGGACGCCTTTCGGACCTCTCTTGGGGTCTCTTGGAGGCCACCTGAGAGCTTCGAGAGCCGTCCGAAGGCTGACTTGGGCTGCTTGGGAACGCCTTGGACCATCCTTTCGCATTCTGGGTGCTCCTGGAAGGCGTCTTGGGCCCTCCTGGGGCGCTGTGGAGGCTCCCCGGAAAGGCCTCTTGGGCTCCTGGGGGGCGTTCTTGG